GTTTTTAAAAGTAACACACTGTATTTTGAGTTCTCTTGTTGATGCAGGCAGTTATCTGTCTACAGTTAGGGTCAACAGCATGAAGGGTTTTCCAATAAGTCTATCAAACTTTGCTCACTGTGTTTGGAGTGATGATGAATGTCTCCAGAAGGACTGGGAAGCCCTGCTCATCTCTGTAGACGAACTTCTGAAGAACTGCTCCACTCCTCTGGATCAGTCGAATGTCATCCTTTGTGCCTGTAGGAGAGGATGGACACAAGAGGAATTGTGTTTCAAATGAAGATGAAGGAAATGGGACTGAGAAAAGGAAGCCAAAATGGCTCATGAGGCTGGTATTTATTGCCTGTTTTGTTCGCTCAGAATGACTGAGAATTTTTCTATATATAATTGGATGCCTTGCTATCAAGGTTGCTCCCATGCTAAAACCGGTACCCATTTATCTATACTCCTTGGAGAAGAGATGGAAGAAGGGGTAAAGTAGCTTGCCCAAGGACACAGCATATGGCCAGCAGCTGGATCTGAACCTCTGACTCCCTCACTACAAGTTCTAAGCATGAGGCCACACTCCCTGCGTGGAGTGGACGACACAAACAAATTCACTCATACACAACGAAAATTGGGAATTACGAAAGTGAGAGACTTTGGCCTTTTCACTTACAACACCAGAGTCGCTGGGAGATGTTGTCCCACTTGATGGATACCAGCTTGTCAGTGTTCTGCAGCTGTATGACATTCTTTTTGCTCAGAGTCATGGTGTCCCATTCAATGATCTGACCATTCAGGCTGGCTGTGTAGGCGACACTGTCATTGCAAAGAATTCAGATGTCTTAAAGAACTTTGGTTTTAAAGTTCAGAGAGGAGAGATATTGTCATTAACAACTTCTGTGAGATTTTCCCACATTTGTAGAATATTTTGCAAAAGATGAAATATTTTTGGAGCCAAGGAATGTAGCCAGGGATGTTTTCCTTCAGTCAGAAAAACACGGTCGTAAGATAAAATTTCTCATTTTAGGAGTCATTATGTGTAAAATAATTATGGATAAACATTTTAGATTACCTGCCCAAGAAAACATCAGATATTTTGAAGAACCTTTTCACAAGAACACTCACCTTTGGTTCTCTGTGACGGTGATGTCAGAGACGATATCGTTGTGGTCCATCAACTGCTTGTTGGCGGAGTACGTGTGCACATCAATGATGTATATGGTGGTGTCAAAGGAGCCCGCCCACACCTGTTCCCCTTTAATACACTCCAGGCAACACTGACATGAAAGGAGAGAGGGAACAAGTGGCAATTCAAGGGAGAAGTAGCGAGGTTACTACGGGGAGGGGAGGGGACACTGCCTACTCCCCAGCAGAAGTCTGTGCCCCTACCCTTGGGTGCTCCCAATCTGAAATTCTGAAATGTACACACAAGCTGCAGTTTATTTTCTTTGATTGCCTCTTGAATAAATGTGCGGTAATTTTGCTGGAAACCTTCCTGAATCCTCGAAATATTCCACTGTGGAGGAAACACATGACACATTCCTATTTTGTGTACTTTAAATTGTCCAGGGGCGTCAAGCCACATGTAAACTAACAGTGGCTGAGCTCTTGCATCCTCAGTCCTGCAAGTGCCTCTTAAGTTCCAGGTGGATTTGAAGGATCAGGAAGGGTTAGGGATGTAGTCAAGTCGTTTGGTAAGAACTAAAAGTCAACTTAAACGCAAGATGACGCAGTCGGGAAAAGGGCCCAAGCATCAAGGTAGTGCTGGCCGAGTTGCTGAGATAAGAGGACGAAGAGTGTTGGGCCACAGAGATGACATGGATTTGCAAGAAATATACTTGGGAAGGGACTCAGGCTACAGTAGGGGGCCTTTTGCAAATGCTTGGACATTTCCGGAATCCTCTTTTTTGAAGAACTACTAGAATTCATCGTTAAAAATGAAAGCATGATTGCTCGAAATGCATGGTCTAGACTTTTTAAGCTCAGTTCCTGATGTGCAAGCTCAGATTGTGAGATTTTTCTGGACTTGGAAAAGGATGTGACTTGGAAAAGCTGTGTTACTCACCACTCTGTCCTTAGCTTCAGGGATTTCGGCCTCCAACAGGAAGTTACTGCCATTGTAAACTTTGACCTTTCCTGACCCCATAGCACACCACAGCCTGGGACTGGTGTCCTCCTCGTTATTACAATCGCTCCGGTCTGAAACGAGAAATACTTCTCACTAAAGGCTGGTTCATAAGTCAGAGATGAATTTGATGTCACAGAACATTCGCAGCCATATGTGCTCATGTTGAAAAGTGTTAAACTTTTGTTAACGGCAACACAAAGTTTGACCCGATGTCAGCATTATTTGTTTGTGTTCTCTTTCACTCCAAGTACGAAGCAACCTTTAAACCTTATCGCAATTGGGGCCAAGTAAAAAAATAAAGCAGTTTCTCACTCAAGCACATTTCCTTCTTCTCTGGCAACCTCCTTTTTAATCTTTTAACTTGTTTAATTTTTTTGTTGAATTTGCGACATGGTTTGACTTTTTATTGCTCCATATGTCAAGTTTAAAATCTCTTAGATATGGTGAAAAGTGATGATTCCTTTACAGACAACGGTGTCAGATGAAATATCCAAAAATGTCTTCAACCTTCTTGTGAAAATCTGCTATCAAAGAAAAAAGGGCCACCACACCTTCTCCCCCTTCAGAAAAATCCAGTCAAGTGCAGAAGATTGAAACATTTGTAAAAACAAGATGTTTCTGAAGTGTACTGGTTCAATGAACAAAATCAGCAATAAGAACTCACTCCCTGGTGTATAGATCATGGCTTCCACCGTGCTGCGCTGGCTCTCGTTGCTGGAGGGGTTGAACTTGTGCACCAGAGCATTGCTGGTTTCCAGCCCCATGCTGGCCAGGCCTTGTGACTTCATATAAGTGAAATGGCACAGGATCTGAAATACAAAGTTCCCATTAAAAAGACTGACGAGTTGTTTTACTGCTTTCACATAATTCTTAAACCTCAAGATGCACCTTGCTTACTTTTCAATTAGATTTATACCAAACTACTTAAAACGGTGTTCACCAGTTCCTGGATTGATTTTTGTACATTCATGAGTTAGTGGATACCAGGGAATAGAAATTTCCAAAGTACCTAAATTGAAAAATGGAATTGGGCACACAACCTATAGAAGAGTAATCAATTTTAGGATGCAATACATGTAGGAAGGCTGGCTCTGCTCTAGAAAACTCCTGAAAACTCATCTAAAGATATTTGAGGATTCTGTAGGACTGAGGAAGATCCAGGTCAGCCACTGTCACTATGGTAACTGAAGCCCACTGAAAGTTAAGATACACAGAATGCAAGACAGCTTTCGTTAAAGGTGGATGATTTCAGAAGATTTTTAAGGTAATAATTGGAAAAAATATACAGGAGGTTCAGTCAATTCAGCCTTTGTAATGTGTATAGCATTGTGAGTAAACAACATCTCTAAATTTTGAGTTCTACAAATTGATGTTAAGGCCTTACTTGCGACACGATATCCAAGTGCTTAGCATATGAGGCCCCTGTGTTCTCGGCACTACGAATGGCCGCGTCCAGGAGGCAGATGTTCCTGGCTGCCTGCTGGGCGATGTGTGGATCCTTCTGGGTGTCTGCGATGGCACGCCCCGCCCACATCTCAGTGATCAGCGTATACCAGCTGTTACGCTCCCCCTTTAGGTTGGCCATGTACGGCTCTTTGTTGGACCCTTGGAGATGATAAGATTTGTAGGAGCTTAGGCAGCAATGCAACAATAAACGAAATCGCTCATTAGTCTTCATTTACTCATCTATTTATAGCTACTGCAGGGAGTCACGCATCCACCTCTTTGACCTGGGTTCAAATCCCATCCTAGCTGATAGTGGATTGGCTTTTAGTCCTTACCTGACTCAGTGGATTTTTTTCAAGGGATATTAATCTGTAGTTTTGTTCCTAACTCTACACTTGAAGACTTTCAGTTGTAATTCTTTATATAAAGAAGTTCATCATTACACTTTCCACACTGCCAGTGATGTTCCATTGAAAATGCCTGGAGTTGAAGTGGCTACCATTAATAAAGTTGTTATTACTGCTACTGGGAAAGTGGCCTAGTGGTTGGGGACTGTCGTTACTGATCATAGAGTACGCGGTTCACATCCAGCAGCTGGTTATATCTTGGCCAATTATCTTCACTCCTACTTGCTTCTTTCCAATCTGGTGACCATAGTATTGCTATCAGTGGTCACTGGCAGTGGCCACCACCAATGGCAGTACACATTGAGATAATTACTGTAAGGAGCACTGTTTGGTAATTGCCACACAAACCCACCACCTTGCTCTCTGCCATTGAAAGGGGGCCACTGAGAAACTTACAAACTTGGAGTCTGCAAACAAAGGTCAGGAGGTCATGTCCAACTTCAGACAAATATTCTTTTATTAATAAGCATTCTTTTCATGTGATAACAGTGTTTTTTTTATTACTTCGAGGATCTGAACGGCAGAACTATGGACAGAAGATACATGTCACAGGCAAACTTGGGATGGAATTGACTCACGTTTGCTGTATATCCTGAGTGCGGGAGCGCTACTCAGGAGCCGATACGACTGCTCAAACTTCTCTAGGCACTCAATGTCCCGGATCCGGATCACCTCATCAAAGTTGTTGCTGCCCTCTGTCAGAAAGAAAAGCCTGGGGAAAAATACCAAAATATCAGCGAGTGAAGATAAAGAACTTTTGAACATAATAGAGAAGTGGCTTAGATGGCTTCTGACTAGTGCTCCCCCCCCACAAAAAAAACCCCAAAGATAACGACAAATGGGAGGAACCCAACTCTGGGGGAACAATTCTATTAATAACCACGTGTACAAAGGCATACATGAAAATAACCCGAAGAAATCAACTGGTCGTAGGAAAAGTTGTATGCCCCAATATGTGACAATTTCATATGTCTGAAAGTAGCTGGCTATTCTTTTGGGAGGGCGGGGGGAAAGCATCTCTTTTGCCCCTTTGTGGGGGAGGGGGGGGTAATTAACTCTCCTACCGACCTTTTATCTGACAAGATTAGTCTTCCCATGCCCTCCTTGGACATGATGAGGGAGGAGATCTTGAGGATGCTCTCTGTAAGGTCCAGCCGCTCTGAGTACACCTCGCTGGGGATCTTTAGGCCTTCCAGTTCTCCTTCCTTCCAGGCGTCAACGAATGCTACGAAGGAGTCCACGTCTAGACCTGAGAAATCAGAAAGGCATATGTTGCACTTGGGTGACGGACTTATGACACTTTATGACATCACGCAGAGATTTACACCACATCCAGTGCTAGACTGGGACATGCCGGGCAAATTTGGACAATGACTTTCTGTCAACCACTGGTCACTTTTTTCCTGTTAGTATGTGCACAGAATATATCCTGAAAGCAGACACAATCACCCAGAGCTTGGGAAATGTTGTTGCTCACACTTGGCTTATGATGCAATTAGGATTTCCAAATTTCAGCCTTGTCTTGGACTTGAGATTCAGGCCACAGTTTTGTAATTTCAATCCCGAGTTGAAAATCCCTGATTCAGTGCCTTTCCAAATGTTGCCACTGACACATGAAATCCACTGACACATGCTTTATGCCATTCCGAATGTTCAACTTTTCATTTGGGGTTCACCAAATGACATCTAAAAATGATCCTAGAGGCTGAGATGAAGCTACAGCCAGAAACAAAGCTGAAAAAATGGTTAAAAATTTGTTATGCATATTTGGTAGATATTACTCTGTCACTTCAAGGAAGGTTCCCTTGGCCTTACCCCCTTGGATGTTACCACCAGTCAGTGCTGAGAAGAGACGTTCAATGACATCCACATCTATCACTATCTCAAGATTCTGGACATGCTGGGTGAATTCAGACAGTCCTGTATAAAAAATGACACAGAGTTATAGGTGAATGACAAAAATGACAATGACATCAAATGAAATATTCAGCATGACTAATATCTATACAAATGTTTGGTACTACAAAATCAGAAAATAGCATTCAGTAAACGAGAAAGGCATGCTAAAAGTACTTTTCGCCTTGCACCCATCAGAGCATAAATGCAAGAATGACTTTAGGCTGGCATCACGTGTTCAAATACTACGCGTTGATAGGCCAACGGGACAAAAGTGATTATGTGAAATGGAGCGTGCAAACAAGTTCTTTCTGACTGCAGAGAGCTGGTTTGGTTTTAAATGAGAGCTGGTTTTGTTTTAAATGAGAGCTGGTTTGGTTTTAAATGAGAGCTGGTTTTGTTTTAAATGAGAGCTGGTTTGGTTTTAAATGAGAGCTGGTTTGGGTTTTAAATGAGAGCTGGTTTTGTTTTAAATGAGAGCTGGTTTGGTTTTAAATGAGAGCTGGTTTGGTTTTAAATGAGAGCTGGTTTGGTTTTAAATGAGAGCTGGTTTGGTTTTAAATGACTGAAATTGCATACTAGTACAGTAAACTGCTGAAGCATTGCTTCAGCTGCACTTTCGTCTTTAAGTCCCTGATTTCAAAGATTTGTTTTCAATCTTTCCTTTGGCTACATGTGCTTCATTTAATTCTATTTAATTTACAATTGCAAAACCTTTCCATTGAATTATAGAGACTCGTTCTTACAAACTGTCATTAGCAGTGTTGTATTTGAGTGCATCACAAATCCTCGCAAGTCCCCGTAAGTCCATCACGAGTCATTCAGTCTTAAGCCAATTCACAAGCTATTCAAATGAGCTGTGACAAATGCATTCCTTTGTCATTGTTCACCCTGTTACTTGTGACTGATCTTGTGAGGGGACTTGTGAAAGGATTTGTGAAAGGACTTGTGATGGACTCAAATACGACACTGGTCATTCGTCCACTTACAATTTCACAAATGGGACCTGGCTCTGTATAAGCTCAGGCTTCTCCCTTATGTCCTCACCCATCACCCTCCGTATTCAACAATTTGTTGCGTTACCTTTACCACTGTATTAAGTTACGACCCATCTCATCCTGTCCTGTCCCATCCAATATATGTCATCAAACTGTATAAGGACAGAGTCTTTTGACTTGGTTGGAAAGAGAGGACTGCCAAATGGCCCTGAGGAAAGACTCAAGTGACAACTTTGTGCCTCATACCTAGGATGCCTTCGATAGGAATGTCCTCCGGTATGGTTGGGTTAGTGGGGCCACCGGGTCTCTTCCGCTGGCTGACCTTCTTCAGAATCTCTCCCCTCTTGTAGAATTCCTGCTCCTCAAGCTCTGCCTTCTCAGACGTGCTCAGGTCCTCCACTACCTTTGTGATCTCACTGAAAAACAAAAGTGAAATTGTGGTTGAGTAGCCTCGAGGTGTGTTCATACTTCACAAAACTGGAAACCAAAGTTTAAAATTTAGTTTTGGTTAAAGCTAGGTCAATTCTAATAATTGAATATTTGACATTCAATTCAACTGAATATTTGAATATTCTGTTGCGCCAAATTCCCACAACAGCAGAAACAAAACAAACCTATTATTCACATATTATTCACATATAAAGGAATAGTCCTACATTTGCAGCTGTCTGTATTTTGGTTTAAGAATAGATCAATGGGTTCAAGCTCTCTCTGAAATAACTCTCTCAGGCAAGCTGTCATTTTGGAGAAAAATATGACGGAAAAGTAATTTGGCCTTATTGGTGGGCATCTGCAATCAGCTGCCTTGAATATACTCGTAACACCTTGAAATATCCTTTTTGAAAGCAATTTTTGTGTTCCAAATAATACAATTTGTCCCATTTTTATTTCACTGATTTCACCTCCAAATATACCATTTGGAAAGTAAATGTTCGAATATTCAATAATCAGTTGAATATCCAAGTAAAATGGCAAAGCTCCAAATTGGTCGCAAAAATATATTAGCGGCATTAAAAGTTCACTTACTCCACCGGGAAGATAGAAAGATCAGTGGTATGTAGCTGGTGGAAGTCATCCAGACCATCCAGGGGGCGTGAGCATGCTATACGGAACATCCCTCGAAGGTAGAGGTAAGAGGCTTTGACGCTTGCTGATTTGACGGTCTGTGAAGACAAAGTAAGGCAAACTGGAAAATGCTGCAACTGTCCAGGTTTCATCTGCTTTGTGCATACACTATTGAGGGGGCTTTTGTTTTCACTAGTCCCAACATACATGTAAAATCCACAAAGTGTACAGTTTTATAGTCATTATCAAACGTTATAAAAACTGGATTGCTTTCTTGTTTCAGTTTACCTTGATGGATAGACTGATTTGCTCGATGCAATTATCATAGAAATGATGAGCTGTAACAAAAAAAAACGTATCAAGGTTACAATTTGCAAAAGCAAGAAACAATTTCCCAACAGTAAATTGTTAGGAAAATGAGTTACCTTTTGGATATGCAACAATACAGGGTAGAATTGTTGATTCTCGAAACAAATCTCCAAAGGTTTGTATTTGGTTGAGAGTGCAGAATTTGGGGCAGAGTCCACCAACTTTCTCTTCAATGTTACGACACAAGCGTATTCAGGATTTCACTCTAAAACACATCTCCAGAACAAAATTAAGCCCTACATGTATTGAGAGATTATTTAAATACATTTAACATTTAAATAAGCTATAAAGCACATGGAGTTTGGACTGGATACTTGACTTAGATGAGATCACATACGTGCCGCAAGAGATTTATCCAACAAGCGAAGCATCAACAAAGAAATAACATAACTTAGACAAAACTGGATTTGGAAATATTCAAAGAGTTGTGGCAGAGGCTAAAAACTACAGCTACTCACATAGACATGTGCATTATTCTTAGCCACAGCCACATGATTTGGATACAGTATCTACCCAAGTCAGCCAATTGCAGTTCCATCATACAAAGCAAGGGATAAATTTGACCTACGCGACGCGAGCGGTATCGGGAATGATGGCAGGCTAAAGTACGTGTAGGGGACGACATTCCCTCTCTGGTTTTCCACCTTTCGGTTGGCGTTGGGACTTTGCACTAACAGACTACTGCTGAACTTCCGCCGTCTGCATGAGAAATGATTGGAAAAAAAAAAAACAAGTGACGAATAAAATGATACAGCTGCAACAAGTGTGTCTTTGAAAGCCCGTGGCTAGCGGCTGAATCTCTTTCCAATAGATACGTGTATTAATGTCAGCCACAACCATGACCCTTTGACCATAGCCTCATTAACCAAGTTGCTGTGAACATTTGCCAACAGTTTTTATGATATCGGGCTGTGGCCCATGGAAGCTTGAGGGCTCCATACATGCACAACCTCCATAGGTGCGCTAACCTTCCATACCTAGGGTGGACTTGTGAACAGGACGATTCCCCTTCATTGAAAAAGACATTTCGAGGCATTTTTGGGGCAAGGGTTTTCTGTCGTTAAAGAGGAACAGTCACGGAAACATTTTACAAAAATCCAGCTGAAAATCCTGTTCCCAATTCAAGAAAAACAAGTATTTTCACTGAGTTCTTTTTAACTGCACAAAAAAAAGGAATGTCCACACAAGGTAAGTAACGTAAGCGGATATGTGCTGGGTGGGTGGTGTGAGTGTGTACAAGCTCCTTCCGAATCATTAATGCGTTGGGACGAGTACACATTTCACCCCTTAAGGCAAACGCAGTCTACTAGAATGTGTTTAAACGTCCTCTGTGTCAGGGACACAAGAAATCCCTGCATTCTTCGATGTCATCTAAAAGTGGGATATGTGACTCACGAGTACGATTCAGATGAGAAGAACCGGGCACGCTTGTCTAAGTTGAGATAGTAATCTTTCTTCTTGTCCAACCTGTCAAGTTTGTATGTCTTGAAGAGCTGAGTCTTTAAAAACTGGATACCAAAAGAAAACAGAAAAATGACAGTGAGGGCAGTCTGAACAACAACTTCATCAGCTCTACAGAGGACAAATCTGCAGTCTTTAATGTATAATCTGTGAAATGGTGTACAATACTTCATTCTTAAAAAAATAGTTCTGCAGGTGTAGACTTTCTCCAATTTGAGATTTTTTTGAGATTTTTGAGACTGAAGAAAGATTCCTAATGGAAACTTTATCAGTAATGTTGGGTGAATATTCCTCTCGAATTACAACACACACATTTCATCTAACGTCTCCAAATAAATCCTTTATTTCTTTCTGCACAAAACTTTTCATTAATCACAAAATTCCAGATGTTCACGAATTCTTTAAATTTAGGCACATTTCCTCCCAGTTCTCCAATTCTCAAGTCTAGTTGCCATAGTTACCACTGAGTAGAATTCCTTTTCGTCGTCTCCTCGGCAGGCAATGAACTCATCAGCCTTAAATCGTCTCTGGTCAAAGTTCATGAACTCCAAAATGTCCCTGTAAATGCAAGTAACATTAAAAGAGCTCATACAGTTGAATGACCTTGATAGTTAACTGGTTCATGCCAGATGACATGAAAACACAATCTGGTAATGCATATTCATAGGGTGGGTCAAGGGTTAACTCGTTACATTTTCCTTGAGCTTCCAACAACGGACTTGCATAAACATCTCAATTACTATGGACTGACATACACACAATATCTGTGCGACTATGAGGTGGATCATGTTTGATTTTTATACTAGACTAGCCTTCCTCGTATTGCAAAATATCAATTTATAGTCAGAAGTGCTGAACAAACACTTTACAATTGACTTTCGAAAGTTAGTATTCGTGGTGTTTGACTTGGTTTCAAAATTTAGCCAATGTATTTTTGCCCACTTACTTCGAAAATCATGTTCTTTGACAAACAGTAGTTAGTGCACTCTTAAAATGTTATAGCAGAACTTCCGGGAACGGGTCAAATGTAATACCAACCCAAAGAGCACGGCGTACATCTCTGTGAAGCATCGCTGAATGTCCTGTTGGTATTGTCGCCTGAGTCTCTCTCGGAAGGAGAAGTCCGCATCAAGGGTCGTTGCAGCCGGACGAGACAGTGATGCTATGTCGTACTGTTTGGAGTTGGCCAAATGGTACCTACAACAGCAAGGATTGTGTCTGAAGTTTAAGATCAGAAAAACTGATAAAATAATCAAATGATAGCCTACCAGCGCAAGAAAGAAGGCCAAGAATTAAAGTGGACACACAAAATGTACAAGCACAATCCGTTTTCTTCAGCCATCATCAGCCTTTGATTGGACGTTAACGGATCATGTGATAGCACTCTCACAGTTTAGATGCCGTATGCCAAAATTTTGAGTAAAAACAACAGGATTTCACTCTTGCAACATCTACCTTTACACTTCCTTCAGATATTTTGTCAGACCACAACAGCTTTTGGTCTGACAAATACCAAAAGTGGTCAGAAAAGTGCCAAAGTCCAAACATATTACTTTGACTTTCTATCTTGAGTTCAATGAACGACATCAACATTCATATTATATAAAAGAACTGAAAAGCCACTGTGATACTCACAATCTTCTGAAGGCCATAACGCCAGCTTCCGGAATGGATGGCATATTGATGGATTCACACATCTCTACATGTCCCTTGTCAATGTCGATAATCACCAGGCCTTCGACCTGCGTGCAAAATGAACCAAACTAAATTTACAGGAAGTCCGTATAGCACAAATAACAGCACTCTATCAGTAAATTGTCTGGGTAGAAGCAGGTGGAAACTGGGCCATAAACAGGAGAAACAGAATGGAAACTGGCGTGCTTTGAGTTATGTTTAGCTGGGGTAAATGTTTATGGGGGAGAACAGATTTTACGTGATCCTGAAAAACTGAACTGACCCCATTCTCTGATATTCTCTGTCGGTGGGTAACGTTGCAGCCCATGATGAAACAACCTGGTGCCTCTAGGAGGTCTAGCAGACTGGAGGAAACCACAGGAACGTAGACGAAGGGCCACTTGAAGGGCAAGATGAACAATAAAAAACACTGCACAAGGAGAGATAAAAGACAAAGAAAGACATCAGCAGCGGATTTCAAGAAACTTACACAACTGTGTAATTCCACTTACGGCACACTTTACGGCAGAAGTTGTGCAATAAAAACTTTTTGGCAGTGAGAGAACTTTGAAATTTTCTGCCAGGTTCAGAGGAAGAAATGATGAAAACCTTTTTCAAAATGGCGGGTGGGGCTAATTCAACAAATGTTTTATGACTGTCATATTGAGAAGAAATAGCCGTTGTAAAACTGTGGTCTTCCTTTTCCAAGAAATTTACTCTGATTAAAACATTTTCATGAAATCAACTCTAAGTATATTGCAAAGATATGGCACAAATTCATGGCGCAAGGTTTACACATGGTGCGAATTCATACCACAGTTTGTGTTATCAACTGCAGTTAATTGCTAAGCCTTCTAGCGCTAAAAACTGTAATACCAGCGCCAAAGCCCAGTACAAATTTAGTGCAAGAAAGAACACAGATTCTGACATCAGATCAAGTACTCAGATTTTCAATTCGAGAGAATTTTGCTGCACAGGTTTCTGGATGTTAAGTTTGCTCTGCTTTCATATTTGCCTAAAGTATTAACCGGCCTTGAGGTAAGAACATGTCATCGTTCCCCTTCAAATGGAAGGTCTTTGGAGCCTCGTCCTTGAAATTTGGGTGTAGAGAATATGTCATTTGTTTCCTCCAAATGGGAGGTCTTTGGAAGTCTCAGGAAGGTTCTTAGAGAGAGTTGGGGTTGACAGTTAAAGGTACAAATTACCTCTACAATCGGTGTGAGGACGGAATAGTCGCGGGACATGAAGACCAGTCTCTGCTGAGTGAGGATGCAGGTCACGATGGTGAGCACATCCTCCACGGAGAAGAGCAGAAAGGGAAGGTTGAGAGGGATGTCCACAGCTTGCTTCTCGGGATTGTCTGGCGGGTGGACGGTGATGGGCCTGAAACTGTCTTTCATGCAGAACGACTGGTGAGGGAAGCAAGGCAGATTAGGAAAATCTTGGTCAGTCGGCTCAGTGCACAAGGGCACCCAAACTGGTTATAAAGAGAGAGTTGGGGCCGACATCCACTGCTGTCATGCATCTGGTACCTACGCAGAGACCCCGCACATACAGACTGCACACTCTACATATCATACATGAGTGAATAGAGGCATACAAGCAGTGGATAATCCCAATGGGATGTCAACGCTTGGTAACAAGGTACCCTGGCACAGAATCTAGAATACTCCAAGCACAACAAGACATCACACCAAGCATTTGCCTTGAAGAAACTTCGTCTTTGAACTTCACAGAGAAATTCTTCCCAACAGTATCCTTCATCACTTATATGTCCATCACTGTAAGAGCTGTACATGCAGTCAAGTGGATCACAAGTCCCTGCATGTCCATCAAGAGTCCAACACAAGTCATCCAGCCAAGTCACATGCTATTTGAAATACACGTAAAATGACCTGTGGCAAAAAGCATCCCCCATCATTGTTCACTCTGTTACTGATAAGTTTTGTGAAACGACTTGTGGGTGGACATAAAGGGCTAGTGATGGATTTACCTCCAACACTGTTCACTGCTTAGGTCAACTGATAAACTCAAAGTCTGAAAGCCTTATGAATAAAAATTGCTGCTATTTATAGAAACAAATATTACCACGGCCAGTGAACCAGCAGGAGGGGTAGGAACCATCGTCATCTGTATTGTGAAATCCTTAAGGTTCTGCAGCATCCTTTCGTAATCTTGGCTCAGACTGGGTATTAATCTGTTGAGCAACGTACAACACAAATACAGTTTGAAGCGATGCCGCGCTTTATGTACCTGTCTTGAGTTGCTGGTCGATTTGTCTGCCTCTGAACACAAGGGCGGCTATGTAGCCAAAAATCAACAAGTACCAAGGAATGGAGTTATCATATCCGCTTGGGCCTTTTTCTTTTCTTTCACCTTGTGATCATTTTAGCATACTTGTACTTTCCCTTTGTTCTGTGAAAAAACAAGTTGATAATGAACACCACTTGGAAGTCCCACTCAGGTCAAGATTGCAGTAAATCTCTTGTTGGCAATTCTTCAACTGTGGTGCCCACATCAAGTTTGCACAACATGAAAAAATTGTTTCAAGAGCATGCAAATATGGAAAGAACTTACATGTATTTAAAAAAAAAGGAGTTTGATGAACCGGACAAACAGTGCTTCAAGAATCTTAGTGACAAAATTGTCAAGAGGTACAACATGTTGTACCTGTGGGTATATTTATATGAGTTTGAGTAGGGCCACTTGTACTCAAAATATGACTCAGATATGAGTACCTCTGCGGCATGGGTTCGATTCCTGGCCCGGTCCACCAGAGGATTGGGTTTTCAGTCCCTACCTGATTCTGTGGGATTTACCCAGAATATTCTTTAAGGGTTTTCCTCCCACCTCTAAAACTGTTAAACTTCTTCTCAATGTCTCCTCTCTACAGGTTTCTTCAGGCTCATGAGCTACAGTACCTAGGGCACTTTTGAGGAATCCTTGGTGTCATTACAAGAAAGACTTAATAATAATAATAACAACAATAATAAAAAGAAATGAGTAAACATAAGACACTGAGGAATGCAGTTAAGCTGGAAAAGAGTTAGCAAGTCACAAGGAAACGTCTTGGGCTTACGTTGATAGGCACTGCTTCATGACTAAGAAGTAAGGCTGGGACGAGATTGCACATATACAGGAGGGCACAAAACACTTCACTGCTTTCTTCTTGTCCTCTGTGATGGGCATTTCGGCATGCAGCTCAAACTGACCGGCCTTGGTCTGCCAAATATAACAAAATGGGAAAATCAGAATTGCTGCAAAATGGCCAAGCAACTGGAGTGACCTAAATTCTTCAATGAACATATTTGAAGAAAATCTGCATTATTCTCAGGTGTTTATAGCATCGTTTCCCCCACCCATGGATGGAGAGCTGTGTCCGAAAAGTTAAGTACATGTGTATTTTTTCTTTTAACATTCCACTAACTCCTGACGGGAGATCTCAAATGGTGCTGTTGCAAATTTGGCGGAATTGCTACGGTCACTTGTGTGAACCTTTGACAGCAATAACCAGCATCACAGCTGTTACACATTCATGTTAAAAGTGGTTACTGCCCAGCACTACTCCATTGTGTGGACTGGTTTTGTGCACATTATCTTTCCGCACTGCTCTTATGCATGAACCAGTCTACAAAACAAATTTTTGACTTGGATCTTGTAAGCACCACACGAGGACCTATGCTTTCTTGTGCAGAGTCAATAGTTTGACTTGATCAGGTAAACAATACAAAAACGGAAAAACCCCAACGACTAAGCTTCCTTCTGGTACAAACCAAGTACACTTTTGTTTCACTTCTGCATTTTGCTAAATTGCATGATCAAATGTTAACCCCTGAAACATCAACCATGAAATCACAAGCTTTGTCTCTAAGTCACCTTCAGGAAGTTTGACACTTTTATGTGCACATGACTGTTTGTCCATGAGGCCATAAATAACTCTAACAATAATACCAGTAGCAGCATGTGACTAACTCCTTTCAAAGTTCACATTATTTGTGAGACTGTGACCTTCTACATGTTGGACAATTTTTCCCTCAACAATTTTTGGGTCTTTTGCTTAGCTTGTACAATTTTTGATTCTTATGCACACATCTAGACAGAACAAATGATTTGATGAACAAGATGAAAAAAGAAACATCTCATGCTTTCCTGAAGATGTGACCTCAGATCATCAATTTCTTGACATGATCACGAGATTTTCCTTCTCTCAAATTACCATGACAAGGAAGTATTGTCTGTGGAAGACAAGGCACGTCGCGTAGGAACGACTTCCGCTAATACTGGTCAGAACAAGGTACTGGAACGACTCCTGGGGCTTGCTTTGAAGTAAATATGCTTCACCTAAAACCAAATCACAAGAAAAATCTCCACTTCAAATTATCAAACATCGAGCCATTGTGCCCGGTACCCAGGATGTATTTTTTGCACAGGTTACCCATCAAAATTGACAAGTGGTCACTAATTACATGTACCTTGGACCAATGACCCTGTAGTAAACACATAACGTGATGCAGAATATGCTTATTCCTTATTCATGTTATTTTAACTGTGCTAAGGCAACTGATTCTGAAATAATGTTTTTGTTTTTTTATACAGCTCAGCTGGAAAATTTGGAACAAAAGTCAAAACCTATATGCCAAAAACAAGACTGCAAGCCATCTGTTAACCAAACAAAATATCTTACTGGGAAAGCAAAGGGTGGGCAATGATGCAATCATCTCCTGATTGTGTGGAAATGTTGCTGGCCGAGGCTTGACCGACAATCGGCGCGAGGTCCTGCGCTTGAGAGGCGGTGGGTTCCGTTGGAAGCCTTTGGGTGCTGCTTTGACCTGCACGGGTGGGTAGAAAGGGTCGATGGAGATCTTGGCATTTGGGAAGTGGGCTAGCTGGTTGCTGATGACAGCCAGGATCTGGGGCTCCAGGGGAAAAGTAAAGAGGCTCGGGGAGCTTGCCGTCTCTGAGACCTAGAAGGAGAAGATGCTGGTAATCATTGGTAATCATACAAACCAGTGACTGCACTGACTTCATTGTAAGTCTGTTTAAAGAATTGGTAACCACTTTGCACTGGACCATTATCAATGTTCAGGCTGCTGGGCCGGGTGCTTTTTCATTTTTTTCTGTTTTCAATATTCTTCAAAAATTCAAAAAACCTCATTTACGGGCCCATACACCCACACGAATGACTGTCTGGGTGGCTACTCAAAGTTCACAAGCAACATCCATTGACGTCCGAGTGTTGCAGCCAGGCCTGCCGCCCAGTAAAGAGAGCCCACATTGTGCGGGTATTGCATAATTTCCTTTGTTTCCGAAATTGGCCCAGTGTGATGCTGAATGGCAGTGGTATCTTTTCAAATGTGGCTGGATTAGCATGCAACGGTACTGCTCATCGCTGGAGTGCTGGAGCACTTTTTTCATATAAAAGAAACAACATCCGGGGTTCTTCATTTTGAAATATCACTCAGTTTGACATCATAATTATAATTACAAAAACAAATATCTGTAATTGGATCCCATGAAATGAGTCATATGTAAAAGTTTCAAATGATCTTTTCCTATGCATGTGTGCAAAAGTTTGTAGAATCTAGGAAGCCAACTGTCGCTGAAAGTGAAAGTGTCCAATAAGGAAGTGAGAGCAGTAATAGAACTCTTGTTGATGATGTCACACTTTGTTTAAATCTGCACTCTTCTATTGAGCAAATTTTGCTTTTTAATCTATTTACATCTGATCTGATTAATTACGTTCAATCACCGTTACCCCAGTATGCAGATGACACTGTACTCTATAGAATTATTAGAAGTAATGAAGATGCAGTTGTTTTACAGGAAGACCTCAACTCCATTTCAGAATGGTTCAAAGAAAACCACATGCAGCTAAACTCTACCAAGTGCAAAGTTATGCATATCACATGATCCCGAAACCAAGCCCTGTCTCCCTACTACATGTACCTTCAGGATCCTGAGCCTCTCCAACTCGTTACTTCCTACAAATACCTAGGTGTGTTTTTGTCAAACGACCTTACCTGGACAAAACATGTCAACATGATTCGTTTTAAATGTTCAAAACTTTCAGGCTTCATTCGGCGTACAGTAAAATCCAGGAATGCAGATGTATTACTTAAACTTTATCAATCTCTTTGCAGACCTGTTCTAGAATATGGATCACCAGTTTGGCTACCTCAGCAGAAAAATCACATCCAGAATATTGAGACAATACAACGGCGCTTTACGAAATCTTGCCTCCCCTTCAATACTGCCAACTCCCTTTCTTATGAACAATGCTTATCTAAACTTAATCTTTCCCCTCTCTACAACCGTCTCCTATACTTAAGTGTTA